TATAAAAAGACGGAATACTATTGAGAAAGACTTGTCAAATAAAAAACAATTACATCCAGAATGTAGTCGTCTCAACCTGTACTCTCAGTCCCAAGTTTTAAGAGAATAAGAAGTCACATATACTGCAACAATGTAACTTTCAAATTCTACACTAAAGTTTTTCCGTATTCTGATCACAACTATCGCAGCTTATCAAAATAAAAAAGTGGATCTTCCTCGGTAACAAGAGTACACACAATCGCTGTACAGAAAATAGTTTTATTTGAATGACTTGTATAGCAGTTTCCCAGGTCTTCACCAAAATTTTGATGAATTTGAGGCACGGAATAATACAATCTTTGGAGTATTATTTTATTTAGCTTGTAATTTTGTGAAACACGACTGTAAAAGAGTATTGAGTATATAATGAGAAATTGTTCGATCCCTGTCACTCACAGACCGTGACAGACATGTCGAAGGAGCAGCGAATATCAATTATCATCCACTGGCCACTCAAGCAGCTAGCAGTGATTACACAGCTTCTCCATTAATAACATATGATCAGAATGAACTGCAAAATAACCGATTTGAGGTTCACTTCTCTTGACCTGTCGAAGCGACTTGAATTTGCAAGCGATATTTTTACCGATCGTAGTATGTTTAAAAAGAATTGTTGAGTATCGTGAGTTGTGTGATTACATGATTTTCTTGTCTACGATTGAAGCAGCTTTATCGTAATTTGCATTTTAATCTTGTGAAGATTGCGTTAAAAACTTTTTTTTAAATTATACAGTGGATCGCGTTTCCCTTAAGTAATGTCATAGGATAGGGTTATCCAGCATAGGGTGGGTACTGCTGCAGGGGCTGCTCTCTCATAATCATTAACTTCATAGAGCATTAGCGTTAACCAAATCATAGGAAGTTTTCGAATTATTCATGCCGCCACTAAGACGTATACCAAGACAAAAACTTCAGTTTTGCCCATTACCTATATATTGTCTAGAATAAAGTGAGAGCAATAATTATAAGATACTTTTAGTATTTTACATTTTCTCGCCTAACGATTGCGTTTAAAGAAAATTGAAACATACATCAATCGATGCAGAATTTTGTGCCCTACATTTTTGAAATAAAAGAAAAAGCAAACATTGATCCATTATCGAACCATTGTTTTAAAATCACTTTTAAGATTTCGGTTTTGTTGGTGACACTGTGATGGTATTGAGCAATGAATAATGCAATCAATCTCAAAACCAACTAGTCCATGAGAAAGAGCGTCAAAAACTGAACAAAATCATGTAATTTTTTATGCAAAAAATACTCTCTCTGAGAATGAACTTTTGAGTGTTTACCTACGAGATAAGTCATCGGTTTTTTAATTTAATTGCTTTTTCTATCAAAAACTAAATTTAGTGTTTTAAATTTATAACAGTTTTGTAGAGAATAAAATTCTTTGCTAGATGAAATCCTCCGTACTTCTCTGCGATACCTAAAAAAATTGCTGGGTCGCAAATACTTCTAGTGTACTCATGTAAGTGTTGATTCAACAATTTTCTTTAAACGAAATCCCTAAGTCAGAAAATTCAAAATACTAAAGTGTCTTTAAATTATGGCCCCACTTTTCACATATGAAAAAGTGAAGCAACACGCTCTGAAATAACAAGCCAACATGAGCTGCTTTATTCGAGTACGAATCTAAATGTAGGTTCAGCTGCTTGCTATTAATTCGAAATAAATGAAAAACATTAAAACCTAACATACATATATAATAGACATAGATAGAAGTAGATTTACCTCTTAGTCACTTGTACGTATAACTCATATATATATATATACATACTGTGCTGTTGAAATAGGAAAAGATTTTGTTTTAATTTGTTCTATACATAATTTATATACACATATCTATGCATGAGTATTCACTGTCAGGGAAGCATTTCTCTCCGCGTAAGTGACATTTCATTTCAGCGTTGCGGTATAGGAGGTGTAAAGCTACCACAAAAAGCCACGACCCTTGAGCGTCTTCACGTACACAATAATCCTGACTGTTAATATCATAGTACAGATCGCACCGAAATACAGCCACGGCTTTTCCAGTAGTATGAATCAACTAAAATGGATGGTTTTACATCTTAGAAATCACAGAAAGCCATGACAGAGACAGCAGCATAAGTTTTGCATATTTTTAATTGCAAGCGATGCATTCAACATCAAGTCCGGAAACCTGCTAGAACCTGGCACCTGAAACCTTTCAGATGCTAATTTCACATGAAGCCTGTCATCTTTCGGTCTTCCTATTTCCATGACAACCGTAGGATTACATCAAATATATTTCATATTCCAAGAGGTTTCTTGACTATCATCAGTTCTCTGTAGCATCATCGACAACACCTCTAGCATCGTAAATTCTAGTAGTAGAATCGTAGGTAATACCTGTGGCAGCATAGGTAATGCCTGCAGCATTCTAAATGCCGCTTCTAGCATCTCGTTTCATGCTCGCAGCATCTTAGATAGTGCTTTTAACATACCACGTAGCACTTCGAGCACCACAAGCAATCACTCTAGCATCACGGTTGACGTTTCTTGTTTCACAAGTAATATCTATAGTATCTCAGCTTTTAACTGTACGACGTAACGTGGAGTGCCAAAATGGCATACGCTACATGTACCAACTACAGATAGACATCCACCTTTTTCGATCTATATATGTGTGGATGAAAAGATACATATATCTATAAACATATAGCTTTGACATCCTAAAACTAAATCTATTCCTATTTCTACGGACAGTGCCTAGGTATGTATGAATATATAAATTATGTAAAGTCTCCGACAGATTAGAAGATTCCTCCATAATAGAAGACTCCCTCCCCAAATAGGCTATTTTTAGTTCTTCTATCACATCTATACTATTTATTTTGATAAATGTGCATTTCTCGGCTTCGCTTCAATTTTTTTTCTGTCCTTATGACGTTCAAGGCAGTCTGTACTTGAATAATATAAAATGTAATTAACGAACGTATGTTTACAACATGTGAAAAGCAATGCTCGCTATGGAAGAAATGTGTTTTGAGCACCACAAATTAAGATAAAATGAGCACCAACTTAGTTATATTTGGAAAGAGCATAAAAAAAATAAGACAACGAGCATCGTATCAATTAGACATGACATGGGACACAAAATAGTATTTGTAACAAAAAAAAATAATCTATGCATAATAGGATGTGGAAGAAAGCATAGTTGATTGTGTGGACGAAGAAATGGATGAGGGTGAGAACGGGAGTGTGAGTATAGCTACTCTAGGTCCATCCTGATACCCACCCGCATCCTTTGTGTCCCATAATTTATTAATTATCCTGAGATTAGTCTATATGAGTTCACCTTATCACAATTCAATATCTGTATACATATCTACGACAGTTTCAATACGTTTAAGGTATATTTGACTACTTTGATGTATTTTTTTCTTTTGGTGCTCTTTTCACTTATAACTTATTTAGTACTCATTTGTCTTTATTTATGGTGCTCAAAACATGTCCCATGCCTCCTTTATGATCAAGTTCGGTTATTTTTCATTTACATTCTTCTCTTTTCACAAGCAGCCAACTATATGATTGTTTTCAAAACTGAATAAGAAACAACATCTCTTAAGGATAATGATGTAATCACATGTTCTCAGCTACTGCCACTAAATACCGATCATGATTACATTGATCAGGAATCTTATTTGGAAGGACACGCACAGATTACAAGCTTAATAGTGAAAACTCAGCATAGACAGTTGATATTGAAGGATATGCCGAAAAATCAAAACGCCTAATTCCTTTTGTATTTGATTATATGAAATAGTAGCATTTTTATGAAGGAGTTCTTTTATTGTGTGAAAGAAGTTCCTACTAAGAAGTGTCAAATAATCGTATTTTGTGTGATTTACTACATTTCATATCTAGATACTCATATTGTGAAATGTTTTTTAGTGATAGTATATATACCATTTTTACTAATTGTAATAGGGTAGGAAAATGAGATAAAAGTTTAGTAAAAACATAATCAGCAGAAAAAGACTTCTGCAAAAATTATATCATTCAAGGTAGCTAAATATATGACTTTTTTTAGGGACATAATAGAAGACTCTCCTTGTGACTTGTGAACGATAAGACAGAATAGAAGACTCGGGGTCTTCTAATGTGTCGACGGCTTTATATATATTTTAAACTAAGCTTAAATGTATTCGGATTTCTATGGGACAATGTATAGATATATATATATTTTTAATAAAATTAAATCTATTCCTATTTGTGCAGGATAGTGCCTATGTATTTATGAATATACATCAGGGACTACAAAAGGTTTTTCTCCCAGCTTCTCTGATAGTCATAATTTGAGTCTGATTATTGTATTATAATGCATAGACATATTTAGGATCATGCGCAATAATTCAGTCTTGTAGGTGTCATGAATCGTGATATATTCTCATGTCTTTCAAAGTAGTCACACACCATTTTTCCATCTGAATGTGAACTT